GTCAGCCTTTCTGCTCCTATGATGCTGCTTGGCCTGCTGTGTTCATCCAGCTCTGCACCTTTTTGTCTCATATTCTCCAGCATCTGCAGTTCCTACTATCTCTAGATCCTCCTCAAGCTGCTTTATATCTCCTTCACAACACACATTCCCACTGAGCCTCACATCGTCTGCAAATTTTGAAATATTGGATTGGGATCCACATCTAAATTATGAATATATATTGTGAACAACTGGGGCAAAGTCCTGATCCTTGCAGTATCCCACTCATCACAGCCTGGAAATGCAAGAATGACCCATTTATTCTTACTCTCTGCTCTCTGTTGGTTAGTCAATCTGTAATCCATGCCAGTAGGTTATCTTCTCTCCCAAGTATTTTAATTTTTGTAATCAACATCCTAAAGGGCAACCTTATCAAGTCTTCTGAAAATCCAGAGTACTACATGAATCCTTTTATGAACTTTGTTAGTAATATCCCTTAAAAACCTCCAACATGTTCATCAAATATGGTTTCCCATTTGGGATTTCCTAGCTTCCAATCTGCAGGAAACATTATAGAATCTATAAAAGTTTGGAAGATAATCATCAATGCATCAACTTGCTCTAAAGCCATCTCCTTTAACATTCTGGTATGTAGAATAACAGGTCCTGGGGACTTCATCCCCACTAATTTCTCCAGACAAACCTTCTTACTAATATTAATGTCCATAAGACCATAAGGCATACAGCAGAAGTTAGGCCATTCAGCCCATCGAGTCTGCTCTGCCATTCAATCATGGCTGATAAGTTCCTCAACCCCATTCTCCCACTTTTTCCCCCTAACCCTTGATCTCCTTGATAATCAAGAACCTATCTATCTCAGTCTTAAATGTACTTAATGACCTGGCCTCCACAGCCTTCTGTGGCAGTGAATTCCATAGATTTACCACTCTCTGGCTGAAGAAGTTTCTCCTTATCTCTGTTCTAAAAGGTCTTCCCTTTACACTAAGGCTGTTCCCTCAGGTCCTAGTCTCTCCTACCAATGGAAGCATCTTCCTAACATCCACTCTGTCCAGGCCATTCAGTATTCTGTAAGTTTCAATTAGATCCCCCCTCATCCTTCTAAACTCCATCGAGTATAGACCCAGAGTCCTCAAGCGTTCCTCATATGTTAAGCTTTCCATTCCTGGGACTATTCTTGTGAACCTCCTCTGAACCCGCTCCAGGGCCAGTACTTCCTTCCTGAGATATGGAGCCCAAAACTGCACACAATACTCTAAATGTGACCTGACCAGAGCCTTATAAAGCCTCAGTAGCACATCCCTGCTTTTATATTCAAGTCCTCTCAAAATAAATACCAACATTTGCCTTCCTGACTACTGACACAACCTGCAAGTTTATCTTGAGAGAATACTGGACCAGAACTTCCAAGTCTCTTTGCACTTCAGACTTCTCAATTTTCTTCCCATTTAGAAAATAGTCCATGCTTTTATTCTTCTTACCAAAGTGCATGACCTCACACTTTCCCATGTTGTACTCCATCTGCCACTTCCTTGCCCACTCTCCCAACTTGCCCAAATCCTTCTACAGCCTCCCCACCTCCTCAATACTACCTGTCCCTCTACCTATCTTTTGTCTTTGTATTGTTCTTCAACTCCTCATTCTCTCTCCTCATTTGGATCTCTAATCCTGGGAGATTTATTGTATCTTCCTCAGTGACAGAGAACACATTGTAATAATTTAGCTTCTCTGCTATTTCTCAATTCCCCATTATAAATTCTCCTGACTTTGCCTTTAATGGACATATATTCATCTTAGCCAAATGTTTCCTTTTTATATACTTATAGAAGCTTTTACAGTCATTTTTATGTGTTTTTGCTGGAAGGCATTCATGTTCTATTCTCCATTTCCTTATCAGTTTCTTGGTCCTCCTCTGCTGTATTCAAAAAACCTCCCAATCTTCAGATTTACTTCTTCTTCTGGCAACTTTATAAGTCCTTTCTTTTAATCTCGTAAAATTTCCTTTGTTAGCCACAGTTGACTGACCTTTTATGAGTTTTCGTCCTTTGAAGGAATGTGTCATGGTTGTAAGCCAGGAATATTTCTTTAAAGACTAGCCATTGCTTATATATAGTAATGCCTTTTAACATATTTTCCAAATCTATCTCAGCCAAGTTGTACCTCAGCCAATTTGTGCCTCATGCCTTCATAATTTCACTTATTAAAATTTAACACTCTTGCTTCAGATTGAACTACCTCACATTCAGACATAAAGTAAAATTCTAGCATATTGTGCTCACTCATTGCTAAATTTTTTTACGACAACACAAGAACATATCACAGTACAGGAGGTGTTGGAAGTATTAGAATGTAGGACAGTGGATATATCTCCTGGTCCTGACCAGATATATCCAAGAACCCTGCAAGAGGCTAGGAAAGAAATTGCGGGGACCCTGGCTGATATATTTGCATCATTGTTAGCCATGGGTAAAGTCCCAGAAGACTGGAGGGTAGCAAATGTTGTGCCCTTATTCAAGGAGGGCTGCAAGAAAATCTTGGGAATTATAGAGGTTAACATCTGTGGTAGGTAAGTTACTTGAGAAGATTCTGAGAGATAAGATATACATGCATTTGGAAAGACAGGATTTGATTCGGAGTAGTCAGCATGGCTTTGCATATGTGAGATCATGCCTCACAAATTTGTTAGAGTTCTTTGATGAAGTGGCCAGGAAGGTTAATGGGGGCAGAGCAGTAGGCATGGATTTCAGTAAGGCCTTTGATAAGTTTCCAAATGGTAGGCTGCTCGAGAAGGTTAAATTGAATGGAATCCAGGGACAGTTGGCAAATTGGATACACAATTGGCTTGATGGTAGGAAGCAGAGGGTAATACTGGAAGGATGCTTGTTGGACTGGAGGCCTGTGACTAGTGGTGTGCTTCGGGGTTTGGTGCTGAGCCCATTGTTATTTGTT